GTTGGCTCCCCGACCCTCGCCGGTCACTCGGTGCCTTCATCTTCCATCCAATCCTAAATTTGCTAGAATTCAATCGATCTTGTAGGACTGTGCAAGCCGCCATTTTTATTATTCTTCTCATTAATTCGTCCCAACCTCAGCCATCAAACGCCCAACCACAAATTAATTTCGCTTTCACACAAATCAATTTCCAGTATTTTTTTTCCTTCTTACCCACTCAGTATTTGATGCTGCCTCTTTTCACAAACATTTTACTCACTCTCTTTCTCAACCAATTGAAACAGAATTGCGCAAACATGGCCGATGAACGATCTGCATAAAATATAGGACTAAACAGAATACATTTCTGCAAATAATGTTGGACATTATTTGTTAAATATGTGACAGGTTGTCATGAAGTGAATTGTTTCAAATCAGTACCTGCATTCACTTTTCATCTCGAATGTCATAAATTCACTCAAAGTGGGAAAATCACGATTTTTCATTAGATCAAAAGCCAACTTTGTAGACACGAAATTTGGAAAATTCTTACAAAATTATTGTTAAACAACGCAAAGATAAAAGTGACAGTGAAACTCTAAAAAAAGAAAAAAAGTGAAAAAGAAGAAAGTTGAAAACCAAATGTAAATGAAACAATTTTTTGTCATCCTGAGTAGAAAAGAATGTAGAGAAAATGTTATACTTTTAAAATGTAATTTTTATCAAATTCAATTGAAACAATTATTTTGATATCATTTTATTGTTTCAATGTCTGATAGACGCATTTTACACGCAATTCTACTTAAATGCATTTAGTAAATCATTAATATAAAAACGTATTTATTATAGTATTAATAAAGAGGAAGGCCCCGAAACGGTGCACATTCTCTCTTGATGACCCCAGTTTAAAATTCGAGAGGAACACATCAAATTCAGTGAAGTCATATGCCGTAGTGAAGCTCGATGTAAGTGTCATTGGCATGAGGAGCATTACACATTCAGCTCGCTTCAGGTGAGTTTCAATTACTTTCCAGTAATTTCCTTCTAATATGAAAACGTAATTTAAGAGGATTAATATTCGTCATTAATATTATATTGATAATATTAAGTTTTTATTATGGTAATTATTCAAATTAGTCTCTTCATCTTTGTTGTTTTGAACACAATATTTCAGTCGATGCATTCTTCGATTTTCTTCAATCTGATAATCTTTGAATCTCATTTAGAATTTTTATCAAATTTCGGCACAGTTCCAGTTTTGGTTGACAAATCAGAGCGACAAGGATTCAAACTGCTGCATTAAAAATAGGAATTCGGATATACTTTGATTATTCTTAATGAAAAGAATATCACAAATCTGCCACCCAAAATTCTGAAAGCTTCCCAATGTCGCGTTCGACAATGAACTTCTTGAATGTCTTCATATTTTTGTTTATTCTTATGAACATGACACTTTATTGAATTCTTCCATCCCGAATAAAACGATCTGAATTTGAAGCAAAACGACAATATTCACACAACTTGTATGAACAGACTTTGTTTCTAACCTTTTATATGAACTCATATTCAGAGTTTGAGATATAAAGGAATTCCATTGTTGTTGACTCTGGTCCTCTGTGGAAAGGTTTTTTTTTATTTACTTCATAATGTATTTCAACATTGAATGTAAAACCCTATGTAGCCCTGGTGAGGCATATAGTAAATGTCTGCTTAGTATAGTTGCAGTATAAAACAAAGGTTGGCTTTGTGGGTGTCGAAGAAATACAAATGATCTCGAGCAGACAACCACGCTTAGAAACGAGCAGCTGTACTGAAGATAAGAGATCACATTGATTTTCACTTGAAACGGCTCTGATGATGATGATGATGACGATGATGTATTTCAAAGAGCAAAACTTTCTCTTATTACATTCAAGAAAAATTAATTAATTGTAAATAAATGACTCTTTACTCGGATATCAATTTATATTCCGAATCACAAGATTTTCTTTCTTATTTTTAATATAAGATTCGCCTGAATTATTTTATCTGCTTCAACATTGTCACGGCTGATATAAATTTGTGTTTGATTCAAGTTCATGGAACTGAAAAAGAAATTGGAGAATAGTTGGTAGATATTTTTTTCGCAAAAAGGAGGAATATTTGAAAGTCAGTCGAGAAAATCCCTTCCATATAAAATCGTAGAATTGGGTCCTTGTATTGTGTCATTAAGAAAGCATTGAATGGACAATTAAAAACACTTTTAACAGTATCAATATTAGAAGTCAAAGGCTGAATCTGATGCAGATAAACATTGTGGGTGTGTCGTTTGCAAGCACAGTGTCCCGCCTTTCAAAAAAAAAATGGATAAAATATTATCTGATTTATTGGTTCATTAAGCAAACTGACCAGAAATTCAAATGATTTTTTTGATTTATTATTATTGAATTTTTTATATATCAAGATTTGCTGAAACATTATAATGATTTCAGTGCAGTTTTGAATGCTTCTATTGTTAACAGACGAAGTACCATCGGAAAGTTAAAGGATTTTGAACAAATTCATGAATTGAGTAATCTTCCAAGTTATCCTATGTTTCCCGTATCTCGCTGGACATTGATGCACCGTTTAAAATGACTCCATTACGAAATAAAGTTTGACTTTTTATAAAATTTTCTCTGTTTGTAACTTAAATTTTCTGAACTTTTCGATATATATATATATATATATATATATATATATATATATATATATATATGTGTGTGTGTGTGTGTGTGTGTGTGTGTGTGTGTGTGTGTGTATGTATGTGTGTGTGTGTGTGAAAGAACCGTTAGGTTAATAATCCGTAGTTCTTTAATGTTTTTGTTTTTATTTTTAAAAATCAGTGCTCGATACACAAGTAGAGCCGATATTATAATTATTTTTAAAAAATATGATTCCATGTCTACATAGAATTACCATGTTTAAATAGACCTAAAAACTTCCAATTCAATTATAGAATTAATTAATTAATTACCTAGTTCTGTTTCTCAATTCCTCAAGCGAATTTTGGATTAAAAAATTCGCTTGAGGATGAAACAGAACTAGGTAATTTAATTTAATTTAATTTCTATAATTGAATTGGAAGTTTTTAGCTTCTGTTTTTGAAACATGGGAAATCCTATTGTGTTTGATCATGAGCCGTTTTAAACTTCGTCTGGCTGCTTTAATTTCGGGTGAAAATAAAGAAAAAAATTGTCCACATTTGGATATTTTTTATGCTGTTCCTTGATCTAAGCTTTCGGCACACATGAGGCATTTTCAGAGTGGTTATACGGAGATTTAAACAAAGATATCCATCATCAAAAATGATATTCTGTTGACATAGAAGATTGCTATGCGACGATAACGGTCGCGGAATGGCAGACACAGGTAGTAAATTCATAATGCGGTTCTATGACGTCGTACCACGTGAGAGAACGGAATATTAACAACAGAACCATATATGTAGATGCAATGTAATGCGTTGTGATTAGTTTGAAATGTAATTTTGCTGAATTTTCTATATCAGCATAAAATAATATTATATATATATATATATATATATATATAATATCAATTGATGATTAGTAGTGATAATTCCAAGGAAGGTTTTAAATCCAAAGAGAGCTCAATGTAAAAACAGAGCAATATAATAATGAATACAGAATCCTTAAAAATCCATCAGGTCAAGTTATAAATTTATTTCACGTCCATCTCTTCAGACCAGTTTTTCATTAATTAATGGAGTTCAATTTATTCAGACACAAGGAAAAGGAAAAAAGAAAAAAAGGAGAAAAAGAGAGAAAATGGAAAAAGTTTTAATGTTAAAAAGAGAGAAAGGAAAAGGGGAAGAAAGACAAAAATTTCAGTGTAAGTTTTTGTGGAGGAAAGAGAGAGATAGGCATGTGGGAAAGAGAGAATGAGAGAGGGAAAGATGGAATTATATATATATAGTGTATAGGGAATTATATATATATTTATATATATACATATATACACACACACACACACACACACACACACACACACACACACACACACACATATATATATATATATATATATATATACATTGATGCATGTTTCATTAAATAATATAGACAAGCTGCCTAAATATACACAATATATATTTTGAACAATAAAAAATATTAAAAAATTAAAATCTTCAGACACAATGGGTTGTAGATTAATATTCTTTCGTTTTTTTTTTATTATTATTTCATTTAGATTCCTCGACTAGTTTCGGCCAAAATGGCCATCCTCAGAAGAAGAAATATTTCTGCTTGCTGGTAGCAGTGAACTACAGAAATGAATGTCTTGATGGAGAAAATGAACTTTTGCCTGTAGTTTTTAATCTTTTTCACATGAATCTTTTAACATTCCTTGTGTTGGTCAAACAGTCTCTTTTAAGTTGTTATTTGAGATAAGAGCTGGATACACAATATATATATATATATATATATATATATATATATATATATATATATATATAGTGTGTGTGTGTGTGTGTGTGATATTTATTTTATTCGCTAATAAATTATAATGAGTACTTAGTAAACGACTAATTTAGTGGTTTGTCTATCAGTTGGCGTTTTGTTCAAGTGTGGGTGTGATTATATGTTCTTCTGTTTAATTTATAATCTCATGAATGTTTAAAGTCAGAATTGTTTTGGTATTTTAATTATATGAACAATTTGAAGAATTGGATATTTTAATAAATTCTTTTCATATTTTTTGTTCATTTCATTCGTCCATTATTTGTTCCTGCTTGAGTGTAATGTTGAAGACCGTAATTACTAAAGATAATCTTAAAGTGTTTCTTCTTAGAAGTCTACTTCTTTATATTGTTCTACAGGCGTGTTGATATCAAGACGGTATATTTGAATAAAACCATAATTTACGTTCTGTTTTAAAGCAACGTTCATCATAAAAAAAAATAAATAAGAATCAACATGTTTTTACCAACCTCATTTGCAAAACAGAATTCATCTTGTGCTGATGTTTGGAATTGATCTGTAGACTGCGTGGTGTTGTCATCTTTGGTTGTGTATGTGTGTTCTTTGCCCGATTTGTGTCTCTCTCTTATCCCAGTGGTCACTAATTGCAGTTTGTCTCGATTTGCGCCACGGACCAGAGTGTCCGTTCGAGAAGATGTGTGACTCTCGTCGTTATAGCAGGAAGTTTTTCGCTCCATGTTATTTTTATGACCTGAATTCGAAATAAGGATGTAAATAAACACGACAATAAACATATTCCGGTTAAACTTAAGCAAATGTTAGGTCGAAAAAAATATCCATATATTCGAAGTTATAAAATGATTGGTGTTTTAATGGACTAATTCGAAAGAGATTTGAAAATTGAATTTTTAGCAAATTAAAAAGAAATCCATGCCAGCTCTGTAGGTAGATGTTTATTAAATATTCTTGAAAGCTTGTATGAAGAATATAAAATACTAGCAGTAGAGCCCGGCGTTGCCCGGGGATGTAACAGTAAGAGATAGATCAAGTATCGACCATTATAAAGACTGAAAAATAAAATTGACAAAGATTATTGTTTAAGGTTGACGGACACGCATGTCTTAATTAGTTTTTTGTTTTGTTTTGTTTTTTTACGAATTGGTCAAACCCAAACTCAAACAAAAACATTGTTTTCAATCTTTATGAGTCTACCGATTGAATAGATTTTTATTATAAACAATTGTCTTGTAAATGGAATTTTTAAAGCATTTTGAATGTAAAAATAAAGAAAAAAGTGTGCAAGACAATAAGAAACACTACCTACCAAAAAAAAAAAGTAAAATTTTGTTGGAATCGGTTGAAAAATGTAGGAAATCCGATCCCATATATAAATGAACACACACACACACAAACATGGGTTTTATAATAAGTATAACTCGATATGAGTTGTCCCCCTTTCATTCTCGCGACAGCGATGCCTCTTAATCGTGTTTTCAAATTGATTTTGTGCAAAAACAATTGTGTTTTTCCAATTTTTGGCACTGTCAGAACCACCACAAGGTAATTTTACGTAGTCCTGTGAACTTTTGTTGAAATCGGTTGAAAAATGTAGGAAATCCGATCCAATATATAAACGAACAGACACACACACACACACACACAAACAACCTGGGTTTTATAATAAGTATGATATTTGTGAGTAGTTTAATGTTATGACTTTAACGTTAGGATACAGCTTGATGATTAGAGCAGAAGTATCAAATGAGTTTCCTTGAACTATAAAAATGGATTTTCAAAAAGAGGCTGTTCTTTTCAGAATAAAGAATCCTCTTAATACTTTTTCAAAGCAAAACAATTTCGTCATGTAATCAATATTACTCACAATAATTTAGACGAAGCCATGTGCAATGCAGATTCGAAAATGCCAAGCAATAGAATAGGATATTTAATATTGTTGACGCTTTAGTGCTGCGGTTAACTTACCAGAATTACCGAATATAAAGATTAAGAAAATGAAAAAAAAAAAAAAACTCCTTCGAGATAATATGAAGCCAAATTTGTGTGAAAAGAGTCCAATGAAAGGAGAAATTATTTCTTCTACATTTCTTATTTCTGAAATTCATTTTTAAAAGGTTCAAGATTCAGAATTGGTTTTTGAAATCTGATTTATATTGCAAGAGCTAAACGATTTAGCTGACGTGTTTGTTAAGAATCTTTCTACAAATATAGGTTCACACAACAAATGATACTTTACGTAGGCGCGGCAGATTCTAAATTAGGAAACCACAACAAATGCGACTTTAGGTACCCAAAATAGTTGCTGCTTTAGGTACCCACAACAAATGCGACTTTAGGTAACCAAAATAGTTGCTGCTTTAGGTACCCACAACAAATAAGACTTTAGGTACCCAAAATAGTTCCTGCTTTAGGTACCCACAACAAATGCGACTTTAGGTAACCAAAATAGTTGCTTCTTTAGGTACCCACAACAAATGCGACTTTAGGTAACCAAAATAGTTGCTGCTTTAGGTACCCACAACAAATGCGATTTTAGGTAACCAAAATAGTTGCTACTTTAGGTACCCACAACAAATGCGACTTCAGGTACCCAAAACAGTTGCTGCTTTAGGTACCCACAACAAATGCGATTTTAGGTAACCAAAATAGTTGCTGCTTTAGGTACCCACAACAAATGCGACTCTAGGTAACCAAAAAAGTTGTTGCTTTAGGTACCCACAACAAATGCGACTTTAGGTACCCAAAATAGTTGCTGCTTTAGGTACACACAACAAATGCGAATTTAGGTAACCAAAATAGTTGCTGTTTTACGTACCCACAACAAATGCGACTTCAGGTACCCAAAATAGTTGCTGCTTTAGGTACCCACAACAAATGCGACTTTAGGTAACCAAAATAGTTGCTGCTTTACGTACCCACAACAAATGCGAATTTAGGTACCCAAAATAGTTGCTGCTTTAGGTACCCACAACAAATGCGACTTTAGGTAACCAAAATAGTTGCTGCTTTAGGTACCCACAACAAATGCGACTTTAGGTACCCAAAACAGTTGCTGCTTTAGGTACCCACAACAAATGCGACTTTAGGTACCCAAAATAGTTGCTGCTTTAGGTACCCACAACAAATGCGACTTTAGGTAACCAAAATAGTTGCTGCTTTACGTAACCACAACAAATGCGACTTCGGGTACCCAAAACGGTTGCTGCTTTACGTACCCACTACAAATGCGACTTTAGGTGCCAAAAATAGTTGCTGCTTTTGGTACCCACAACGAATGCGACATTAGGTAACCAAAATAGTTGCTGCTTTAGGTACCCACAACAAATGCGAATTTAGTTACACAAAATAGTTGCTGCTTTAGGTACCCACAACAAATGCGACTTTAGGTACCCAAAACAGTTACTTCTTTAGGTACCCACACCAAATGCGATTTTATGTACCCAAAATAGTTGCTGCTTTAGGTACCCACAACAAATGCGACTTTAGGTACCCAAAATAGTGGCTGTTTTGGTACCCACAACAAATGCGTCTTTAGGTAGCAAAAATAGTTGCTGCTTTAGGTACCCACAACAAATGCGACTTTATGTAACATAAACAGTTGCTGATTTAGGTACCCATAGGAAATTCCACTTTAGGTACCCAAAAAAGTTGCTGCTTAAGGTACCAACAAGAAATGCGACTTTAGGTGCCCAAAATAGTTGCTGCTTTAGGTACCCACAACAAATGCGACTTCAGGTACCCAAAACAGTTGCTGCTTTAGGTACCCACAACAAATGCGGCTTTAGGTACGAAAAAAAGTTGATGCTTTAGGTACCCACAACAAATGCGACTTTAGCTACCAAATATAGTTGCTGCTTTAGGTACCCACAACAAATGCGACTTTAGGTAACCAAAATAGTTGCTGCTTTATGTACCCACAACATATGCAAGTTTAGGTGCCAAAAATAGTTACGACTTCAGGTACCCAAAACAGTTGCTGCTTTAGGTACCCACAACAAATGCGACTTTAGCTACCAAAAATAGTCGTTGTTTTGTTACCCACTACAAATGCGAATTTATGTACCCAAAATATGTGCTGCTTTAGGTACCCACAACAAATGCGACTTTAGGTAACCAAAATAGTTGCTGCTTTAGTACCAACAACATATGCAAGTTTAGGTGTCAAAAATATTTGCTGCTTGAGGTATCCACAACAAATGCGACTTCAGGTACCCGAAATAGTTGCTGCTTTACGTACCCACAAGAAATGCGATTTTATGTACCCAAAATAGTTGCTGGCTTAGGTACCCACAAAAAATGCGACTTTAGTTACCCAAAATAGTGGCTGTTTTGGTACCCACAACAAATGCGTCTTTAGGTACCAAAAATAGTTGCTGCTTTAGGTACCCACAACAAATGCGTCTTTAGGTACCATAAACAGTTGCTGATTTAGGTACCCATAGCAAATGCCACTTTAGGTACCCAAAAGAGTTGCTGCTTTACGTACCCACAACACATGCGATTTTAGGTGCCAAAAATAGTTGCTGCTTTACGTACCCACAACAAATGCGACTTCAGGTACCCAAAACAGTTGCTGCTTTAGGTACCCAGAACAAATGCGATTTTAGGTACCCAAAATAGTTGCTGCTTTATGAACCCAAAACAAATGGGACTTTAGGTACCCAAAATAGTTTCTGCTTTAGGTACCCACAACAAATGCGATTTTCAGTACCCAAAATAGTTGCTGCTTTAGGTACCCACAACAAATGCGACCTTAGGTACCCAAAACAGTAGCTGCTTTAGGTACCTACAACAAATGCGACTTTAGGTATCCAAAACATTTGCTGCTTTAGGTACCAACAACATATGCAAGTTTAGGTAACAAAAATAGTTGTTGTTTTGTTACCCACAACAAATGCGACTTTAGACACCCAAAACAGTTGCTGCTTTAGGTACCCACAACAAATGCGACTTTAGGTAGCCAAAATAGTTGCTGCTTTTGGTACCCACAACAAATGCGACTTTAGGTAACCAAAATAGTTGCTACTTTAGGTACCCACAACAAATGCGACTTCAGGTACCCAAAACAGTTGCTGCTTTAGGTACCCACAACAAATGCGATTTTAGGTAACCAAAATAGTTGCTGCTTTAGGTACCCACAGCAAATGCGACTCTAGGTAACCAAAACAGTTGCTGCTTTAGGTACCCACAACAAATGCGAATTTAGGTACCCAAAATAGTTGCTGCTTTAAGTACCCACAACAAATGCTACTTTAGGTACCCAAAATAGTTGCTGCTTTAGGTACCCACAACAAATGCGACTTTAGGTACCCAAAATAGTTGCTGCTTTAGGTACCCACAACAAATGCGACTTTAGGTAACCAAAATAGTTGCTGCTTTACGTACCCACAACAAATGCGACTTCGGGTACCCAAAACGGTTGCTGCTTTACGTACCCACTACAAATGCGACTTTAGGTGCCAAAAATAGTTGCTGCTTTTGGTACCCACAACGAATGCGACATTAGGTAACCAGAATAGTTGCTGCTTTAGGTACCCACAACAAATGCGACATTAGGTAACCAAAAAGTTGCTGCTTTATGTACCCACAACAAATGCGACTTCAGGTACCCAAAACAGTTGCTGCTTTAGATACGCACAACAAATGCGGCTTTAGGTAGCCAAAATAGTTGCTGCTTTTGCTACCCACAACAAATGCGACTTTAGGTAACAAAAATAGTTGCAGCTTTTGGTA